GGCCACATTTGACCCCATTCAGTCATTGGATCCATCTGAGGTGATCTGATCAGAAACGGGGAAGAGGGAAAAAAACAACAACATACTTCTTTCCAAGGCAGGAATGAGAAACAGAACAATTTAACTACATGTGTAGTGACATGGGATGCACGCTGGGTCGTCTCATGTCGAGGGACGAGGATCAAGACCCTGGCTGGGTTCTGCATTTCTCAAAACCTGAAAATCTACTACGCTTATCGATACTGCTATCAAGTGTTTTTCCTGAAACATGACGAGTCAAATCCCTGGAGGACAAACACACATCAATTGTCCTTTAAGCGTATGACTCAAACTGAATTGGCCAACCGGAAATAAACAAACCAAAGCAACTCATGGGGTCAGGTGACCGTGAGGATCGCTAAACGTGCAAAGAGGTTTAAAGTTGAGTTACATTTGACATGATTTTTATCTAACTATAGTGCTGAAACGAAATGATCATTTATATGATTACATTTTTTACATTCTTCTTTTTAATCTCAGTGAATGCAAAAACAAAAAACCCATCTTCAATCTGATGTCCATCTTCGTTGCCGCCGTCTCAATGACATGTTGACAATCATAGTTAATTCTTGGCTCTTCATTCATTCTTCTCTGTTCTTGTTGGCTGATTTGATTTTAACTTATTCTGATCTTCTATTCTTCTTGTTCCATTGTTTCACTTAATTCAGTGGTATCTAGCCGCAAAAACACTTTATTTTTTTTGTGCTGTATCAAAGATATTAATCTTTGGTATTTCTCCCCACCCCCCTTCCCTTCATTCCTTCATTATCCAATAAAAGTGAATGGATTGATGAATTCAATTTAAATTCTACAGCAACAAGTCTCCATTCAGAAAAGAAAAGCCAGCCAAATTTTTGAAAACTTCCCAGAGCTCCCTGCCAACAGTTTTTATATCAGTGTCTTTGGCAGGAGAGTACATTCGCTGGCTAGAACAACAACATGCTGAACGTTCCAACTTAATTTAATATGTCGAGCTAACGTTGTTGCTAGGTGCCAAAATGGCCGCTGACATGCTGTCTTAATTGTTCTGCAGTGAAGCATTGAGCTGTGATGAATGTGTCGATTTGTTAGAAGTGAAATAAAACAGAAGTGGAACAAATAGTTAGTGACTGATAGTTGAAGGAATGTTTTACAGCACACAAAAACACTTTTTGACATTTTATCTGGTACCTTTATGTATTTAATTCTTATCCTAGTTTCTGTACATACTCTGAATAAACTTAGTAAATACAAATTTATTTTTAAAGTATTTCTTCTTTTCTTTTTTTAATAATGCTAATAAGCTTTGTTGGTTGGATTTCTATACCAATTTGAGCCATTATATTACGGTAATCAGTGGGATTCTAGTCTGTCGACGCCCTAAGAAAAAAATTAATTTAGGGGCTCCTCCGCCCAATTTTCATCCCCAAGATGTCTGCCAGCTTCCCGCTGCTTACCCGTCTTGTCTTTTATTTTTCACTCCCAGATGTACAATTCCACTTCGTTTTCCTTCGGTGACTTTCAGTGACAAACTTTGTTTTTCACAGCAGAAATGCATGCAATGCTTACCAGGGCAACGAGAAGGAGTGCTGTCAGATGGGGCCCCTTAGGGAGGTTTCCTACTGTCATTGCAAAATTTGCACATTTTGAGCCACTGTGGTTTAAAGTTTGTCAGCCCTTGAGTGCCCCCTACTGGCCTGGAGCCCTAAGCAGTTGCCTGCCCTGCCTATTGACAAGCAGTGCCTCTGACAGTAATTCCTCTCATGGGGTCAGTTCAGAAATTCTTAGTCAAAAACCCTGTCCCCACTACACACACAACCATGATGTATCTAAGTACTAATATCCAGGTCTTGGTCACTTTCACAACATTTTCCACCTCTCTCTCACAAAGCCATCAGTTAAAACACTTCACAATCCTGACTAATCTGAGCTGGTCCTCCTGGGCCGGCTTTGATTGACAGCCGCTGACACTTGCAGGGTTAAAGCTAACATTAACGGCTTTGTAAAGACACAAGAGGACAAAGCAGGCTGTCCCACAGTGCTCCTGGGCTGAGGACATGATACTGTGGAGCCGGTTGACCCCTGGTAGTCATAATATCAGCCAGCATCTCTGCAGCTGAGGCTGAAGGAGGCCATGCTGTGCCTGCCTGGAGCCAAAACGCTCAGCTGGGGCCGAAGTGGGGGAAAAAAAAACAAAAAAAATTTGAAGAGAAAACAAGAGCTTTGGTTTCACGTTTTGCCAGCGTATAATTAGAGAGAGAAAACGATTAGAATATGGCTACTGATGCCACAAGACACCCACACTGAAAAGTCATTGACTGCCCCCTTACATTAGATGAACATAAGTGAAGAAAGCTTTCGTCAAGCATATTTTTATGCTGTTCAGTCTTGAAGGTTTGTTTTGTTTAAGTGAGTTTCTCCTGTCCTACAAAAAAAAAAAAGCCATGATTAAGCCAAAGCTCAGCTTCAAGTAGAGCAGTTTTTAAAAGCATAAAGCACCTGTTTTATTCAACATCATCAAGATGACTAAAAGCTACTCTTCACCAGTCACTGAGTTAGCTACTTAGCAGCTATGGGCAAGGCATAAGCTAAATGAACCAGCAGTCTACAAACTTCGGTTTAAGGAAGAAAGCAGCATGTTCATGTCATCCCCAACTCTCTCTCTCATTGTTATATTGTGTTTAAATAACTGTTCAGACTCTCTGCTTCACCCTACACTTTCACAATCACTTAAGTTATTGCTAAGCTATTAGCATAGTAGTTAGAAAGATGCTCCCTTTGTGCATGGCCTTGGAAAAGTTGTGTTGTAAAGGCTACATTTTATGCTTGAATGTTTCTTGTTTTATTTGTTCTCAGCCTTGACTTTCCAAACATCTTCTGATGTATAATTGAAGATGGGCCTGGCTTGGGTTTGGCTCAGTCAGAGCAGGCACTTCATGTTCACAAGCTTCAGTTCTTGTCGCACTGGTCGCCTGTTTGACTTCCGATCGTTCATGTCATCCCCTAATCTCACTCTCAGTATTTCCTCTCTCTCTCCTTCTTTGTCTCATAAAATAATCTTAAATGTATATATTATGAAAGGGAATGTAATTAATGTGAAACATTTAGTAGACTAATGACTGACACTTTTAATCCACTAGAAAGATCTGTCGTCAACGGCAATTTCAACATAAACACACACACATGCAAACACACACACACTCACATCCGCTCATTTGTGAGCGCCGCAAACCCAGTAGGACTGCCACTAATCCGGCAGCACATTTACAATCTGTGTAACGACAACCTGATATCCCCAACAGGCCGCAGTGAGCACACACCTCCCTTTATGCTAAACACGCCTCCCCAAGCCCCAACACATTACAGCAACAGCTGTGACACAGCCTCCCTCCCTCTCTTGCCTCACCTGGCCTCAAATCAGCTGACTTTGTACTCCCTCATTGAGGATCAGAATCTAGCGTAATATTTGATCCAGTGAAAGGGAGCCACAGTAGAAACCTCCCCTGCGGTGTTCCAGTGACTGCAGCCGTATCAGATCGTCTCCTGCTGCATGCTCCAACACGGTCCTTGTCCCATCTCCCCCCCTGACAGCCCCTCACAGTGTCGATGAACAGAGGTGGAGTATTGAAGACATCCGCAGTATGTCAGTGATACTGAACCGCAGGCCATTAGCAGCTACAGAGACACAAGCAGCCGGCTGTCCAGACCTAATTCGTCTCTGCTAAAAGCCTCACAGATGCACCCTTATGGAGCGCCTATGGGAATATGTGTTTTCAATCACGCTCGTTTGGAATGTATACCTGACATATCTCGCCGCTGCACTTTTTTTTTTTTACCACCATCTTACTCCTGTCCACTTAGTTTACTGTAAACACAAGGGGGAAATCTGGGGGCTTCTTCAAGGCGAGGCTCGAGAAGAGGCCTCATTTTCCCAGACCGGGAGATTCCACGAGGGGCTCCTATATCAGGCTGTCATATTAAACTAATGAAAATCTCATTCTGCACATGGATCCTCTTGAAGAAGCTAAAGGCACATGCTAACCAGGGGATTAGCCGCGTAATGCTGAGGGACTTTAATTTCAGCACCGGCATAAGTCATTGCCGCTGAGCACTAACATTGATATATGGCTCAGGACTGACTGGTGTGTGTTGTAAGAGGTCTCTGCCGAGGCCGGGGAGTTGCAGAGGGATTTGGTTAAGTCTCACAAGAGGCTGGGATGATTGAGACCGACATGATGAGATCCTGTAAACAGAACCAGAGCGGTCGTAGCACAGATGTGTCTCTTAACCGTCCAGCGATATTTCAGGCCTCACTGAGGTACTCAAAGCATCATATCTTGTCATCAGGTGTTGAAGTACTCATAACTCTTTGGAGAATGTATCATCAAGTAGCATGGCGCCGAGAGAGTCCCCGAACAAATCAATGAGTAACTATCTTCCCACTTAGACAGTTGCTGCTGATGTACCCTTGAGCAAAGCGGTGCTTCAGGGGGATCGGGATGTTAAATGTGTCGAGGACAAAAAGCAGAATGCTGCAGTTAATATAGGTCAAGATCAGCAATGCTATAGGATGTTCTTGGGGGGAATTTTCTTGAGCTGTACCAGATTCCATTTTTTTTAAAGTAGAACTAAAAAATGTGGGAAGGAGCAGCAGCGTAAACTGGACTCTCTTTGAATCTGGATACAAAGAGTCATAACTCCAAGGCACTCTCTTTTATACAATTAAAAAGCATTTATTTTCACAGCTTTTACCAAAAAGCTGTTTGTGTGTTGGATATCTGTGGTCACAAGAGTTTTATGAAGTCAAAGTGGGGTCACGAGCAAAAAGAGGTTGGGAACCACTGGCCGATAGGAATGTTTAACCATCAAGAGATTTCCAGAAGCACTCATTGAAAACAATTTAGGCTAACTACATGTAAGTGTTTCTAGTCCCTTAACTATAACCACTATTTACATTTCCTTCTCCCCTCTCTCTCCTCCAGGTTTTACCGCGGTGATTACCACATCGACGTCTGCATCAACGACTACCTTGACGTCTACTGTCCGCACTACATCGGCCCGGTGTCTGACGAGCGGGCCGAGCGCTACATCCTCTACATGGTGAACTATGACGGCTACAGTTCCTGCGACCACACGGCCAAGGGCTTCAAACGCTGGGAGTGCAACAGGCCTCTATCGCCAAACGGACCGCTCAAGTTCTCCGAGAAGTTCCAGCTCTTTACTCCCTTCTCCCTGGGCTTCGAGTTTCGTCCTGGCAGAGAGTACTATTATATCTGTGAGTACAGTATGCACTAACCTTTCTTAAAAAGATTGGTTTTACCTTTGATGCTGTTGAAAATGTCTCATATGGTTGATCATCATGGATTTAAAATGTTTAACTTCTTTGTGATCAGGTTATTGGGTCAGGATTTGCTCATTTTAAATGTCAGCCATATTTTTTTTAAGTTGAAAAGTTCATTTTTCTGAAGGTGGTCAGCAGAAAGTATTGTCTCAGGCCTAAAACTCAGCTATTCTATCAGCACTAGCTGAGAAAGATTTGATGATGTGGCGCTTGTAGTTGTATTCAAAGATCAATATCAACTTCAATGTGGAATCTCGCAAAAAGACAGCAGCAATGTATGGGTTTTGTTTTTTAAAGTCCTTGGAATGAGGGCCAAACCAAAATACGAGCCAGAGGGAGCAAAACATCTCTGCTGTTGAGGTCTCGTCTGGAGTTTCTTTTGTTGCTGCCTGGCTGAGATCAGCTTTCTCTTCCTCGTGAGAAGATGCTGGAAAACAAACAGCTGGGAAGTCGTGTTTTCATAAGCAAAGCCCGAGCCCTGCAGGGGCAGAAGTGAAGGACTACATGAGATTCACTGCACTGCGTGGTAGATATTTGTTATTAAGCTGGTGGTCAAAAACAGGAACCAGTGCTAGGAAGTGCAGAGTCGACTAAAGTGAAGAACAAACTTGGACAAAAAGTACAAAATAAAGATTTCAAATCCAAGGAGAATGGTGAATGGGAAGTGAAGTCTATACTTTTACTGCCTCTCTGCCTGTAGAGCCAAACAGGTGATTTAGAAAGCTTCCCACCTTTGAATTCTTTAAACATTGTATCCTCCAACCAGAGCTTAATCTAGACTGTATGCTAATCTCCTTGTATATATGAAACAGCTTCTTCATGTTTTCTGCTCGCCGTTATGTTCTTCTCCAGTCATTGAACTACACATACATTAATTTAAAGGCAGACATTTTCATTACTGTATAGCATCACACTCTGTTGCTTCATCTGCCACTTCCACGTCATTTTTTTATGCCATTTTTTTATGCCATTTTTTACGTCATGTTTTGCCACCTGAACCCCCCTCCCTCCACTCCTCCTGTCCAATAGGGATAGTCTCCTGCTGTTTGGATAGTCTCCTGCTGCTCCTCACTTTTTGCACCACCAAGATAGCGAAGGCTAAAAAGTCCTTTTGCCAGGCCAATGCTGTCCCCTCTGCTACGTCCACTTCTAATATTAAGTCATTGGAACTAACCCCTGACAACTTTTGTGTCTCTCAACACTTTGCGACCTCCAATAGAAGTGAAATTAAAGTGCAGTGGAGATCCAAAATCTCATGGAACAATGTTAATAATTAGGGTGTTTTGGTTGATGATGAAATATCAGTCACTGGAGGATTCATTGTCAAGGATTGTTGGACGATGTTTGAAGCGAGCATCTGTGATCCCATCAACAGCATTGTCCTCTTGGCGAGTTCAACACATTTTTCTGTAGAGTTTTTTTATTGTGATGAATTACCCTTTACTAGATGTTTCTGTTGGATTTCAATGACAATTGGCTAGTCTACTTGACTGTGCTGCTTTAATTTGATTGTGTTTAGTTCAGGGACACTGTGGTCTATTGTCAGCACTGCCAGAGAATTGTTGATGTTCTTGCACTTCCTTGGATGTCGATAAGAAAAATCGTAGGTTGCCTAATTGTGCCTCGTTGCTCCAGTTGGCTCGGGTTGATGTGAGACTGAGTGAGGATGATGATGTTCATGTGGACTTCTGATGATGATTGATCATCCAGAGAGAGAGAGAGAGAAAGGCAGAGAGACAGCCCACATGGCCTTTAGCACTGTCAGCCATATGGCCTATCTCTCACTGACTCAGGTTCATGACTCATCTATGAGATCCTTGTTCACTAAAACCCTTTTTTATCCCTCTGAGAACACAAGATTCTAGCAGGAGATAAACTGACAATAGACAAAGACACCTCCAGGAAAATACCAGGGCCTCGTAGTCAGAACGGTTCACATGATACAGATATTTGTCCTCATGGTGATCCCCGATGTGTGATGGGAAACGACAGGCTGAAGTTTACCAATGAACTCCAACTTGAATGGTAATCTGTTTCCTGTAAAACTTTTGCTTCATCAGCTAATGTGTTGTGTAAGATGCATCTAAAGAAGTGGTGGAAAAAATCAGAATGCTTCACCACTTCACCTTTTATCTTTTGTTATCTTTTGTCTTATTTGTTGGAAATAAGCTCTGTTTTAGCTTTTTTATTTATTTATAGTGTGATTTTTTTAAAATTGTGTTTCAGTGCTAACAGTCAATAATCAATCATTCATTGAAGTTTCCCTTTGATCATTAAACCTTCTTAATTAACGTAAAAAAAGACAGAAGATATCAGTTTCATTCATAAAAATCATCTTTTTCTTAGCTGGATCCTTGATTTGCAACATGATCCACATCCTGATATGCTGACGATGTAAGAGTGTACATCATGGTATTACTTTTAAAATGCATGTCGGTAGTTTCTTGTTTCAACAATGCAGATCAATATCTGATAGATGAAAGTTGTGTTGTGATTATAATATGGTTTCAAAGTCTGTTTAATTTCCGGGATATTGACACGTTGAAGGGGTCTGCCTGTCTCAGTGAGCACAGACGCTCCTTTGTCCTCCTCGGTGGTGATCGTCATCCGCCCCAGGCAGGGTGGATGAGGGGGGCGGGGTCACGTCAAATAGATGACACCTGCAGTTTGCTGTAGGCCTTGCCGTCTGGCAGACAGAGAAACACCCGGAGGAGGAAAACCACCCTGGTGTGGGATCAGTGCTGCGGCTGGTCCTAGAAGGCCAAAGGTCAAAGAATGACGACACGGTCTGTCCTGCGAGTTTCTCCTGGCCTCAGAGGGGCGGCATGTTTTTCTAATAGAGCCCCAGTGGAGCGGGGAGAGCCTGATCCTAATCTCAGAGGATAGAAATCCAATTTTCAGAGGAGACAGTGGAGAGACTGGCTATCCCTGTGTGAGAGAGATGACTGTCTCCCTGTAAAGCCTTCTCGCTTCAAACGCCGCGTACCGCCCCGTACACCCAGCGCAGATCTACATCGATAATGACATGAACCCCGCCAGCACAGTACCCCGACATTTTCCCCTTTAGCTGCTCACAGCTGAGGCAGAGACAAAGAGCTTTGTTCCCCGAGATAAACAGATAATCACAAGGAAAACATCTGATCCCGCAGTATTTCTATCAGGATCTGTCTAATTCACCTTTCAGTCACATCAAAGGTCGGACCAACACGGCGTCCCGGCCTGTCTGGAGATCTGCGATATGTGCTGCCGGGTCCTGAATGAACATGTAACATGTGCCTGAGCGTGTGAGCGGGAGGTTTTTTCACCGTCGTCACATTGTCAGCAGGCGGATGACCTGGCTCACGCTGAGTGTAGAGTTGCAGGCAGAGCTGGAGTTACAGGCACGGTGAAGCACGGCTGTGTTGCTCGAGGACAGAAAAACCCAGACTGTGACCTCAGTGGCAGACATGAGGGAGAGGAGGAGAGACAGTTGGGTAATTATGTGTGTGAGTCGGATTCTGAGAAGGGATGGGAAGAGGACAAGGGTGAGAGAGAGAGACAGCGTGACACATTATCAGAGGAAGACAAAGATCAAGTGACAAATTGTAGCAAAACAGGAAGAGATGTGTTCACAGGTGCAACTTTGACACTTTATTAAGCAACAAGACAACAGGATGAAAGATATTCCTCAATCTTCAATATCATTTTAGAAGAAGTAGCTTGAAAAATATAGAAGTTCTGAAGAAACAACTAGTTGGCCAAAAGTACTAAAACCACATTAAAGAACATATACTATTCCCAGTCTGCACTGTAAACCTTCAAAAATACCACATCAGAGCAGTAAAAAGTTCTCCACAACACAAAAGAGATGATGCATGCCGAGATGTCCCGATATATGACACCTCAGGGTGCATTATTCTGCTTATACCACGCTCACTCAAAGGGAGAACAACAGCGGCTGTGTTTTATTTCCCTCGAGGCCGAGGTTATTTTAACAACCATTTTATACTTTTAATTTGGTCTTTTACGATCGAAGGAACAACTGCAGCTACTGTTGCTGCTGATGCTGATGCATTATGTTTCTTTTTGCAGGATAAACTCATTAAATGGCTTCTTTTTTTTTTTGCCTTTTTTTGTGGCTGTCAAATGCAAAAAATTAGAAAACTTTGATGGTCCTACTTAGCTGGATCAGAGTTAAGGAGTAAAACGGATGATAGACTCTATTCTGAGAAACAGTCTAGGGTGATGTTTTGGTAAATTATTTTGGATTTTAACCCAAAAGAACAAAAATATACTCAAAGCAATTATTATTTTGAGCAACACAATTGTGATTTTTCCTGGATTAAAATTTTTTTTGGACTTCCCCTAATCAAATAGACAATTCACTCTAACCATGTGCTAGAAAGAAAAAAATGCAGACATGACACTTTGTAAGAAAGTAAGAACACAGATCTTAAAACAGGGACTTTGGGTGCCTTGAAACATGAGATAACAGAGGTAGGCCGTTACAGAGCATCAGTATTTGGAGATCATGGGTTGGACATACTTTGGAAGCTCGTCAGATGATAGAAAGGAAAAGTATAAAACTTGTCATACAACCTGTTGTATGACAAGTTTTGTACTTTTACGTACAATTTAGAGTCAGCAGTTAACCTAACGAGCATGTCTCTGGACTGTGGGAGGAAGCCAGAGTAACCAAGAACCCACACATGCACAGGGAGAACATGCAAACTCCTCAGAGAATGACCCTGACCGATGGGGATTCGAACCAGGGACCTGAAATCGAACAGCGCTAAGCATTGTGCCACCATGCAGCCCATAATAATAATCTATAGTTTAAAAAAACCTTGACACCAACCAAATTCCAGCAGAATGAATTGTAGAAATAATCAACTGAGTTGTCATTTATTTAAAAAAGAAAATGATTCTATGCTGCCACAAGTTTTGCTGTGGAGAGCCTCTGAGATTTTGACTTTACTCCTTTTCTTTGTCTTATATCATTAAAGACAAGCTGGCAATTTGAAGACAACACCTGGGGATGTGACAGTTGAGCTACTCTCTGACATTTGATAGACTGAACAGACAAACTTTCTGTCACATATGATTTAGAGATTGTTCGACAACCAAAACATTTTGAAACAGCAGACCACATCTGATGAGTTTGATAGGATCCTAGATGGGAACTTCGGACAATGGTTTCTTTTTGTTATCCTGTATGTGTGTCCTCCAAAATGTTTGTGCAAGAAAGAAGCAGTCACTTTTTTAACAGGAATCAAACAAGCAGACAGAGACAGAGATTGAGGAGCACAGAGAAAGAGCTTCAGGGTTTTGGACTGGTTGAGTTGAGAGACAGAAACTGAGACAGTGAGTTTTCCCGTCTGTTCGAGCCACCGTCGGGGTGTGAGGTAAGTTACTCGATACCCGCTGACACAGACAGAAGCGGGCGTGATTGACACCGTTTTCCCTCTCGTTTATTTCCTCCCTCTGAGCTTCACTTCCAATATTCCTCTCACGGCGAAGTTTTAAAGAGGATTTTATCTGCTCTCAGAGCCGCGTGCTATCTGATAAAGTGCCTTTTGAAATAAGAGCCCCAGTCATCTGCGACAGTGGAAACACTGACACGGTTTGCTTTTATCAGGAATCAACCGCTGGGCCAGAACCCATCACATGAAGTGTCTGGGTGGAAGGATTGAAGAGTGTCTGTGGACAAACTTTGGACAGCACTAAAAACCACCAATACTCTAAAAAACCACAGGGCCATCCTTACAAAGTGTAAATGAATATTGCACATGCGGAGGCAAGAGGGATAACTATATCGTGAAGCTCAGGGCAGCAGATCAAGCTGCCATATTTGGATGTTGGAAAGGAGAATATGTTGACCCGACACATGTTCACAAACATCCTTTCTACTCAATGTGGTGTGGGTTTGAGAGACTATAGGCAGGAACTGACAGAGGTTAGAGTATGAAGGCACTGGAACAGTTTGAAGGCTCTGGAACAGTTTGAATAATAAAGGAGATGTAGGTGATTGTAACATCTCGTCACACAGCTGTATGTTTCAAAACATGAAAAATAAAAAATTACTCATCAGGACGAGAAGAGATAAACTCTTCAAGACTGTATTTAAAGGAGATAAGAGTGAAACATCGTAAGATAACAACAATCGGCCTCGTCTCAGTGTTCGTTTCTGTTTGCTGAACTGATGTTCATGAATGAAGGAAGTCTTTAGATAGTGGATATGGTTCAGGTATTAATCTGAGTAATTGTGAATTCAGAGCTTAAACTGTAAAACGTATACTTGAGTCACTCTTTAAAATATCTTTGCCTTTGAAGATGCAGCTTAGATGATCAGAGAGTCATACATTCTTAAAGTGGCTTGGCTTAGACTTCATTATTCCTGCGATCGTTAAAGGGAGAAATGATGACATGCACTATAGGTTTTGACCTTAAGTGCCTTAACTAGGGCGTTTGAGTGCTCAGGACACTGAGCTCTGAAAACGCTGAACTACATTAGAGAGGTATTGAAAACAGCCGGGCGCTACCAGAGCAAAAAAACACACACAAAAAACGGCAATAATGCACACAGGCCCTCAATCTTTCATTCCTATTGTTGTACGGCAACATTAGACTGAATGTGGAATATCATATATACCATAAATCTGTTCTCCTGTTTGATGGCTGATGTTTTGGTTCAGATGTTCAAATCTCCCCAAGGTGGTTTTGTTGAATATAAGAATTTGCAGCATGCAGCCCGTGACTTGATCTGTGTTTACTGCTGAAACAATGTTTTATCTGCTGCCATTATGGCTGAGTATTAGTGAGATGTTTACAGCTCGAATAAAGGAAATCAGAGAGGAATTCATTAAAGGTGTGTTTATGGGGAGTGTGAAAAATTAAGTTAAGTTGATTCTAATAATTTAGGATGTTTAAATTTTAGTTGTAGGGTGCACGATGGTGCAGTGGTTAGCACTGTTGCCTCACAGCGAGAAAGTCCCTGATTCAAATCCTCGTCTGACAGGAGCCTCTCTGTTGAGTTTGTATGTTCTCCCTGTGTGTGTGTGGGGGTTCTCTCTGGATACTCCAGGTTCCTCCCACAGTCCAAAGGCATGCTCGTAAGGTCAATTGGTGACTCTAGATTGTCTGTAGGTGTGAGTGTGGGCTTGGCTGGTTGTCTGTCTCTACATGTCTGCCCTGTGTTTAATTGGCAAACAGTCCAGGGTGTATCCCGCCCAATGATGTCTAGGCTCTGCTCCAGCACCCCGCGACCCCCGAAGGGGAAAAGCGGTTTAGATAATGGATGGATGAATTTTGGGTAGCACATTTAAAATGTCCTTGCTTTAATATGTTGCTGCATGTCCAAAACATGTTTTGACTTTATTTCCTAAAAGATCAGCTTCGCTTCCAAACATGGATAACTCATCATAATCCTATTGAGCATAATATCACCACGGCCAAAACCACAATTTAACAACGCTAGATTAGATCAAGGGAGGTATTTGGAAATGGAAAAGTTTTTAATCTGTTTTGTTCTGAACTCTGCGTGATGTTCCCACAGCCTCCATCACCGACGACAAGGGGAGAAGGAGCTGCCTCCGACTCAAAGTCTTCGTCAGGCCTCAGAGTGAGTCTCACATTGTTGTTGTGTCTCCTCTTCCCACTTTTCCCCATTCTGTTGTGCATCAGCTGGAGATCAGGCTGAGCACAAGTGACGTTCAAGGTCTCTAATCTCCACATGTGCTCTTTGTTTCCCCAGACAATTGTGTGAAAAACTCCGGGAGCGCGCAGGAAGGGGTCGATTTTGACGAAAACAGCCACAACTCTCTAGAACCCAGAGGTTGGTGGAAATAAATACAACATACTGTGTGTGTGTGTGTGTGTGTGTGTGTGTGTGTGTGTGTGTGTGTGTGTGTGTGTGTGTGTGTGTGTGTGTGTGTGTGTGTGTCTGTCTGTGTGTGTCTGTCTGTGTGTGTGTGTGTGTGTGTGTGTGTGTGTGTGTGTGTGTGTGTGTACACGTGCATGGTGATTTTTCTTCTCATAGCTGCCACGTCTGACAATAATATTCATCCCTTTTCATGTCCTTTAATTTTATTTCATTTTGAACATCATGATTTCATAAACAAAGATTTGTTTTCCATGACTTCACTTGTTGCCTGAGCTAAAATGTCACGAGCTTTCTTGGTTTCCTACTGTGAGCTAAAGCCAAACAGGTTTTGAAAACGTGAGGCATTTGCAGTGGAAAAAAAAAACAAGAAATAAAATACAGATTAAATCAGGTTTACTTTCATTGTGCAGATGAAAATCATAAGAATGACCAGTTCTTGCCAAAAGTTGCCTCAACTCGTTTTGACCTTATACAGCTAGCGTCTAACTCAAGGTTTAAAATGTTTGTCATCACTGCATCAGATTCTGTTGCTTTGTCCACCATTTCCATTTCCGCGCCATTCTTTATGTCCAGTCTCCTGGAAACTCTCCAGTCCGAGGTATATAAGAAACAAGCAAGTCAGGAAGATTTCAGGGCTGCCTGTCATTTTCTGGAAAAAAACGTCAGGAGTGCATATGGGAAATACCTAATGACTACTCAGGGTCATTTTTTACCCGTTTACAATTTTTAAAAGCTAATTTGGACATGCCATAATTGACAAACTAAAGCCGTCTGCACATATGCATTCCAGAACATTTCTAGAGAATTTCAAGAGGACTGCCCCTGAAATCCTCCTGATCTGGTGGTTTTCTGCAGCCCAGACGTTGGACAGTTTGATTTCTGTATGTCTCTGCTCTGTTGTGCACAATGTGTTTTCCACTCGGCTTAAATTAAACATTTCTGTGAGGTGTAGCCTTAAGAAACATGAGAGATATGAATGTTACATCACTCCTCTTACAACTCTTACCAGGGAAGCAAAATACTTAATTTTGTGAAATGTTTAACCCTTTATTTCATCTTAATATCTGAGGCATATGTAAATTGGGTGTTAATACAATCATAGGCATGAATCTGTGAAGGCTAATAATAAGTGTTCAGTTGCTTTGTTCAGCCATGTCTGCCATGCATGTCTCAGAGTGTGACCAAAAGTCTCACTCACAGTGTTTAGCTTCCTTGTCAATTTTAAGTTAGCTCCCAAAAAACCTCTTTCATATACTTAACATGTTCGCTCACCAACAATCATCACATCTTCTTTTTCAGACGGCATCGGCCACGAGTCACCAGAGCCGGCCCGACGGGATGTGAACTCTGCTGGTTGGCGCCAGACTTCAGTTCTCCTCCTAAGCTCCTCCCTCATCCTCCTGGCTGCCATTTTGTCTTTATAGCGCACGAGTCAGAGGAATCCACCGGGAAAGGACTGTCCTGATTGGACTACAGGCCTCCCATACCTGAACCCCCCCCCCCCCCCCCCCCCTCCCCTCAAGGAGCACTTTTCTAAAAAAACGAACACTGACAATCTCTCGAGCTGAAATAAAAAGAGAGAGAAGGAATGGACTTCAACGCTGAAGCCTTTTGTTGTATTTGACTTGCCAACTCGCGTGACTCTTGACTTTCTGTTGGGTGCTGACGACCAAGGCGCCCTGAGGTGACAAAAGGCGGAGTCTCTTACCTGTTTGCCTCACTACCGTTCACAGTATGCAGATATTATACATTTAACACATACATGTTTTGAACACACTCACACAAACTACACAATCAGTCGACTTTTTAGCTGTAATTTCAAAAAAGCACAGCAGGATCCCTTAAAAGTTTACAGACTTTTTATTATTATTTTGTGTGTGTGTGTGTGTGTGTGTGTGTGTGTGTGTATGTATTTGGGGAAAAACATCACAAATCCCACACATGAACCAACATTAAATCTCATGTCAAAAAGTCAAAGAAGTTGAGAAGAAGATCCGGGAGCGACACTTCCCCCATGTTCCAACAACAACAAAAAAAAAAAGGAAAACGAAACGGATGTTGTTTCTAGGGGACTGTTGCCAAGGGCGCTGGGGTTACGGGGAGGCAGGCCTTTGATGACTTAACCTTCCTCTCAGGTTAAAAAGGAGTTGGATGCGTCCTCCCAGACAGCGGAGGAGCATTGCTGAGAGTAAAAAAGAAAAGAAAAAGGAAACATTAAAGAAGCACTCATCTTTTAGTGTTTGGATAGAGGAGTTTAATGATCAATTAATGTGTTTTTTTTTTTTAATAAATCACGTAATTCAATTGTAGCAGCCAACACGGGTGTACAGTAAAATATTTGAAAGGAGCGTAGAAGTGGATATTTGCCAGGCAAAATGTATTTTTCCTATTTATTGTGAAGTCCTTGTGCTTTTTTTTTTCCTGTTCTGTTTAGTCTGCAAGTACAGTAGAAGGGCAATAAAAAAAGACAACTGACCCATTAAGTTAGCTCATACCACACCCAGTTTATTTGATACAATCATACAAGAACACCGAGTTCAGCTTATGTATCTGCTTGAAATGATCGCTGATGATGTTTTTTAAAATGTTTTTAACAGAAAGAAAAAAAAAGTCTGATGTGCTATCAGGGTGTAGAAATCGTAGAATGCTTGTGTTTCGAATCTGTCATTAAAATGTCACCAATGTAGTTTTACTATAACACTATTGCTTTTGTGAATCACTGTTAAAACACGACTATTGTATATAAAGACAGAGGCAAATCTCCTACAGAGTTCAGGGATGTGTCCATAACTAACATGAGGTAAAAAAAAGAAAGATTTTTTTTAAAGCAGCACAAGTTTTCTGTGGCTGAAGATGTTTCAGAGAGACAGTGACGGACTTATAGAGCAGTAAGTGTAAGCGGGCAGGGGTGTGTGTGAGCCCTGCGTGATGTCATGGAGTACACAGAGCGAGGTGTCCTCAGAGAGTAAAGAAAAGGAGCTGTAGAGCCGTGTGGTGCTCCTGCTCAGATCAATAGTCATGGTTTAAAGCAGGAACAGGTCGAACATTTCCTCTCCACAACGCTTGTGTGAACGGATTTACAATCTGAGATTCTAAAGTGATGCACATTTCACCTGTTTATATTAAGGAAGTCAATTATCATCACTCTTATTCTCTAATGTGTAGTTCAAGGAGATATTTCTGATGGAGTGGCATGCCTATGAGTGATTATGATCGTTGTTGAATTGTTTGCGTTCCCTTATCCATCCGTCCCATCGCTACGAGTGCGCCGTGCAATTGAGAAAACTTAGCATCTCCAATCTCCTTCTTCCTGCTCCCAAGCTAACGTCAATAGAATCCGTCCATTGCCTTGAATGATGTGCGAGCCCTTTTCCTCACTCGGCTATCGATACATGCCAGGTCTTCTTTTTTTTACCTGGACTCTCATGTCACTTAAGTGTGAAAGTCACTCTTGAATGTATATAAGTCTCTTGAATAACCGGCAGTTGACTTATAGTTTTTGCTTAATTCTGCATTTTAATTTGTTACTGACTTTGTCTCAACTCAGAGTCGTCGGTGCTCCATCGCTATACAGACAATATGAAAACTCAGATGACAACTTTTGTCTTTATATCAATTCAACATGTAGTTCGACATATTCATTTTATCGTTGGAAAACATAATGAAGCAGTTTCATAACGTGTAAGGTGATCATGCGACAGCAGCAGGATATTAACGTCGCCATCCGCTCAATCTCACCTGCGCTGAATTTTCCAGAATATTTCCTGCTTCATTCTCACATCGTCTCGTTCCAACGTCACACAGACTTTTCAGGAGTTTTGTCTAAATGTGAAAGCACTATAGGAGCCGCTGACAATTTTTAGATAACTTCTGTCGCCTCTCTGTTTCTAAGAGTAAATTAAAACAATAACATTCATGTATGTCAGCACAAAATCTTAATGAAAATGTCATTACATTCTAGCTGAGAGTGCCGAGGAGAAATAATTAAAATGTTTCACATAGCAAGTTGATTAGTTTCAGAAAATACCGTTTAATTTAAGAGCAAAACTGATGATCAAAAAACGCTTCCTCCTCACACCTATACCAGCCTTGATGCTTTTTATTCTACCATCATTAAGAGTCCACTGTCACTGCAGCCATCGCCTCCAGACACTCCATGTTGAGAAAATCCAATCAGTTAGTTTTGTGGATACTGTGTATCCAACAATTAGCATTATTGTAACATACAGTGTTAGATACTTTCTCTTTTTTTCACACCTCTTTTCAAGGGCAATTTAACTGACACATTAATATTCTTAGCAAGAAAAAAATCTCACTGTTTGATATGAAAAAAAAAAACGCTTTGTTTCATTTTCTATGTCTTTTATATGTAACAAGAAAAAGTACAGGATCATCATTGCACCGTCTGTCTGTAAATGTTTGTGTGTGCAAACATGCAGTGAGGTCGGGATACAATCATGAATCAAAGAGTCGATAGATGGAAGAATATCTGTTCCCCCCAAGCCACTACTGTTGCATCTAACATGTTACTCAGATGTCGGATGCAGAAATAGTTGGTGTTCAAGATCACCATTATGACAGTGATCACAATATTTAATCATGCTAACATGGCTAACATTTTCATTAGATGTTATGCTCAGAAGAGGAAGCTCAGATGCTGATATTTTAACTTCTGTTACAGGTTTGAAAGTGTAAATGTAGAGATTTGGACATTTTTTATAATTTCCCTCTTTCTAGAATAATTTGGCAACTACAAATAAAATGTTTTGCAAAAATCCAGAGGGTCACTAGGTGATCATTCTAGTTGATACAACTTTTTTTTACTTGTGAGGTAGGCCAACTGTTTGAAAACACTTAGGCTAACATAAGCAGTAGGCATCTTCCTAGCTTATCTTAGTGTTAGCCTGCAAAGAAAACTTCATGCTAGCTAGCATAGCTGTTTGCTTGCCAAAGTCACTGTTAGCTAGGAACTAAATATTGAATAATTCATGACGTATTGGCCGCTGTAAGAAAACAGTTAGCATTTTATTCAACCATAAATTCAACCATTTATTGTTAGCTTGCTTAAAGCCTTCTACTTCTTAGCAGATAGTATAACTGTTAGCTATGGCTAAGTTCACGGTTAACATTGGATGAACCTTCCTCGTTGTGTGGTGTAATGCTAGCAAATAGCCCAGAGTTGGCTCAATGCTAATGTAGCTGTTGTCTAGCTAGCTAAAGCTAAATAGGCCTAGTTCAATGGCCCTATGAAACTCTAGATTATCACTTTTTATTGGCTTTGAGATGGGGAAAAATTGAAAGGCAGAGAAAAAAAATTAACAAAATTGTCATATACCCAACATCGATTTTGGAAAACAGCATTTGAGCTCCTTCCCTTAGTGTGACATCAGAATAAATAAGCAGCCATGCAGTTACATTGAACTGAGAATTGAGCTGTTCTACAAAGATGGCAGGTATTATTATAAACCATCGACTTGTTCTGCATATGATTTTGGTACCATGTAGCCTGAAGCTAACACCACTGTCTCTGGTTTGCAGCGTCCCTCCATCCCCCTCTGTATGTTGGAAAAGGATGTGTGTTTTTGTCCGTGCATCTAGCATTGGGAAGGTCTTTGCAATGAAAGTCACAACTGTGTTTGCTTTACCAAAACTCAACACGGATGTGCAACAAAACTGCACATTTCTTTAATTTTGTAGTAACTGTACCTTGTGCCTATGAGCCCCATCCTCTCATGTACTCATCTAATCTACTCTAATGTCTGTTTCCTGCTCAATCCCTCACTAGACTTTTCTACCAAATGGCCATTTCTTTGTAAATACACGTGTTGGAGCAGCTATGACTAACTAAAACAAACAACAAAAAAAGATTTAATAAATATTTCTGTCGTTGTAAACTTCTGTGTCTGATTTGTTTTATTAATCATTATGTAAATGAGTGGCAGTTTGTGAAATGGAAAGAACATCAAAAAGGCGTGAAGTCTCTGCCGGAGCAGTTGCCAGTGAGCGCTGGATGTTTGTCTTGGTTGTCGCTCGACACATAATCACATAGGCTGAGTCTGGGGGAAGTGGGTGAACAGCTGTTTCTCTATAAACTGGAGGTAATTCACAGACTGAAGAAACAAAAACAGAAAACAGCTTCAATTAATCTTGTGGGAATGTGCAGTGCTTTCGCGAAACTCTGCCAAGAAAACTCGGTCTCACACAATCTTTTGCTTCCTCGCAGTGCTCTGCGCTCTGCTTGACTGAATTCATTCTCTGTCTCTTTCCCTCCCTTTGTTTCTCTCCCTCAACTTTTTACCATAGACTATGCCTTTTACCAACCAGCGGCAACAACTTTAAGGCTTCCTGTCATAGCATCTAGACCACACCAACAAACACAAATTTCCAGGAATAGGTCAAGAACACTCTGTTCTGTAAGTCACAGAAACAACCTGTTTTTATCAGCAGTAATGAAGCTGCAGCTGATTGATTGACTTTGTTGCAGCTGGAAATCT